GTCCTAGACATCGCTGTTGTCTAATAGAGCCTTGGTAAAATGTGTTTGCTAAATTGTAAGCCTATGTATTCTACGGCGACCGGTATGAAACGCGCGATTTATTTGCTGCCCGCAGTACGGACGATAGTCGGTTGCTCTACTACCAGGAGCGTGTAGCTGTCTCAGCCTGCTGTGACCCAGCGTGGGTGCCCAGTGACACCACACCAGCGACCCTGGCCGTTGAATGGCCCAGCAGTTGAACTCATGTCGTGCATCAGCCGTCCTTGGTCTCAGTACAGCAGCCAAGGCCACCACATAGGTAGCGGCCAGTGATCCCATTAGATGCTCGATGGCGTATCTCAGAACGCTTACCGGTCGCATTCCCGTGCGCTGAAACGCGTAGTACCGTGAAAGGCGTCTCAGTTCCAGGAGTGTATCGTGGCGACATAGTGCTTGATCAGTTATTACTGCAAAATCGCCGTATTTCAGAGTCTTTGATTATGTCAACAACTGACCATTTCTCTGCCCGACCGAGGCGTGATATCAGTGCCAGATCTCAGGCCATTTGTAGTCTACTATTTGTGAGAGGCCAACCATATCTTTCGTGACCCTTTCTGTCTTTTGATTTTCTGAACAGAGCCGTGTTCACCGCTACCAAACGTCGTTCATATGTTGCAACAAGTCGCATATAATACTAGTACTAGTCGCTAGCAATCTATTCTCACCTTGCAATGCCACCTGCAATGCAGTCGAGCCAACGCCCCTCAGAGGGGCACTGGCCTCGTCAAGGTTACTCAATTTTACCCTGGCTGTTTTGAGTGTCTGGGGCCATTTTGGGATAGCTGGCAGTCTTGCTGGTTTCCGTATTGTTTCATAACGGTGTGCAGAAAGGTAGCTGAAAGTGGCACCCGCCGATTCCATGATGATACCCGATCCGTGAGTGTCTCGGTACCGGCGTGTATGGAGCCATCACTAATTCTCACCATTTCGGGGAAGGGCAGTTTGAGTGCTGAAAGGAAGGTGTACGTGCAAATACATCCCAGCACTCGCTTATCCTGAGCTTTTCTGGGACGCTGGATAGGCTGCCTACCAGCGGCGGCCTTGATTGGCACGCCGTTCGTTTTAAGTCGCTGGCTGGCACGCATCTCGAACAGCCTTCAGTCATCTGTTCGTCTTACGCCGTTGACCGGCACACATCTCCAGCAGTCTTGAGTCTTTCGTTCGTCTTACGTCGGTGGCCGGCACGAATCTCGAACAGCCTTGAGTCCTCCGTTCGTCTTACTCCGCTGGCCGACACACACCTCGAACAGCCTTGAGTCATTCGTTCGTCTTACGCCGCTGGCCGACACATATCTCGAGCATCCTTGAGCTCTCCGCGCCGGCAGACAGCGGAGCACCTCACCCTACGGACAGCCTCCGTGGCTGCGAGCGTCCAGCATGCTCGAACACGGCTCCCGGCGTAACTGGGTGGCGTGGGGGCAGGGGGGGGGGGGCCCTCAACCGGAGCTGAACTCGCTGATGTGAGGGGCTTCAGTCCGTAGCGCTGCACCACTCGTCGATGGCGTGATAAATGTTGTTTGTGAAACACTGCATTATTGTTTGCAGATTTGGTCATTGCTAACCAGTTAGAGTGAGATGGGCCTCATCTGCAGCTTATCAGTTGTCAAGACCACTTTTTGTGGAGTAATTATCAAGTGACCAACGTTGATAAAGGTGCATACCTCAAGTGGAGACGCGCACATCTTTTGATATTCGACACTGGCTGGCGGCACTTTCCACGCATGTGCATTTGACTGTTCTAAGTTGATTGTCAGGATGAGATGTAATACAAATGAAGTGAGCGAGGAGCGCTATGAACAAGGGCGGACGAGGCAAGCGACACAAACACCATGACATTCGCCCAACATCCACTCACTCTGCACCTCAGCGTACCGTCTGACCGTCAAGCAAACAACCCCTACGTCGAGTCTTAAAACGGTGCGGCGCCTGGCGAGGAACTCACAAGGCGAGCGGCTGTATGCGTCAGCTGCGCTAAAACACAGTCCTTAAGCGTCTGTTTTTGTTTTGGCTCCGGGTCGTTTCAGCAGTGAGTGGGACCTCGTACTGTGTTGGTGAGCTGCTGCGGGTGGCTACACCGCTGTCTCAGGTGGTTGACCGCTGTCCAACACCTTCTGACTAAAATGTTGATACGAGGCAAATTGTGTAACGCTCAACGACTTAAGAAGCTTAAGATCTTCCGATGTGCTGTCTCGTTCCCTTTTGCCAAAAGCAACGCGCGTGGAAAAGTTAAAAAGTTTCTGAATTCGATGATTTTGAGCATGTCCAAGGGACGCATAATTTGGAATGCAGTATTGTGGCGATCACCAGCGAATTCGCATGCAAGGAGATGATGTCAGATAGTACGTTATGCTTTGTGTGTGACAAGGCTTAAATTGTGCCCGCAGATTTCCTTATTAGCTGGTTGATATGTAGGTCAAATGTCAGGTGCTTGTCCATGAAAAGCCCTAAATTTGTGGCACAATAACTCTCGAAAAAGTGCGGACCCCGAATATGATGCAGACGATGGGAAAGTCGCGACGCATGCTCTTGGAGAAAAAACAATCAGCTGCGTGTTGTCAGTGTTCTTAAAAGAAAGGGAGAGGAACCGTTTGGAGGTATTATTAATACCCGCTCCATCTGTTCCATCAGCAGGTGGATTCTATGGAGCCCGAGTTGTTTTACGGAGATGAACATTCATTTGCCGGTAGGACGTCGCGGCAGGATAACCCAGCATGCGGCAGTCCGTGGAAACTGAAACTAGACCGGAATCAACATTACATACGAATCACGTAATTAAAAGCGTGAGTTTGCAGAAAAAAAAACAGAAAATACTGATGAAGTAAGCACATGTGATCAAGGGCGCAGCAAAGCCTTGGCAGGGGGGAGGGCGCAAGATTGACAAATGGCCCCTGATTATAAATTATATACATCATACCGCTTTACCTTCTTTAACTGGAATATAGGCCGGACGCTACCGCGAAATCCACTCCGCCCTTAAGTTCATAGCAAATAACCTGACAAAACTATGCGTTAAATGCATGGTTTTGTAGGAACCATGGAACGTTGGTTGATTTTGAAGGCGTAGGAACGTTTCAAAAAGTGCAGGCCAAGCTCAGGGTGTACTTCAGGAGCTTTTTCTGGAAAGCGAGCCCGATGACCCGGGAGGGGGGAGGGGGGGTAGGGATGGAGGTTGTTATCGCTCTTTATTCTAATGTCATAGCTGCTTTGGTAGATATGCATCTAGAGCTGTTTCTCACTGGTGCACAATCTTGCCTATTCGACTCATTTGTCATTTGGCAGATAACGCTACCCAGCTTTCTTTGATTAATCGTCCATTTTAACAATGTACTTCCTGGGGAGGCGAAATTCCACGAGCGGGTAGGCATTTTGAGTCATTGAGGAAGCATCTGCCTCCACAGTGTAGATGCCAAAATAGGCCTGGATGTAAGCTGGTGAGAATTTTGAGAGTGGATCGATGGATCACAGTGTGACAGATTTTTCATGCGCCTTCACTTCGCTGGCTGGCTGGCTGGCTATCTTTTCAAGAGATATGACTTGTCGCAGTATTTTGGGCGGAAACAAATTCGGGAGCTTGAAACTGCCAGAAACAATGTGACAAAGGTCATAAAACTGGAGATTCTCTTTTAAAAAATCAAGCCAGATGATAAGGCCCACCTGTCATATGTTCTTTATCTGGGCGCTGCTCCTGTCCACCATCGGTGGTCACTGCCCTGGCCGAGATGTCTCCCGCATGACTGACTGCGAACTGATCGTATGGCTGCTTTGTTGCACACTTTTGGGTCAGCGTTACTACTACATGGTGTATGAAGCATGTGTTGGACACATGCAACAGTATCTTTTTTCCGAATTATTTCCCTCACAACACCATCGCGGAAAAATAGCATGCGGGAAGCTGTCTGCCTCAGGCATGAATTGGCCCAACGGACACTTCATTACCCATCATGCAACATATACGACTTGATTTGCTTTTGTGTGTGGGCAGGGGCGTAGCCAGAGGCTTGCCAAGGGGAAAAACAAGGTTGACGAAAGTCCATCTCACGGTGATCCACCCCCCAAAAAATTCCAGGATATAGCTTACTTGTTAACAAGTGACACGGTCCCATTCGCACTTTTGTTATTTTTACCTTGTAACCAGAACAGAAACCAAGAGCTACCGTGAGCTCAATTCAGTTTGCATTTTGAGGTCAATAAACTGCAGAAATCAGGCGTTGAACGACCGCATGGAAGAAATCACCGGTG